CTCAAAACAACTGCCTGTTAAGCCTCAATCGGCGCGACAACAACTAAACCATTCACAATCGGCTAAAAAATTATGCGGGCAACCCTCAGGATATGCAGCTTCGTACACCAACTCATATGGTCGTTTGAAAAACATGCAATTTTCGCTTCCCAATGGACTTACTCCCAACAGTCTTCAGTCAACAGACTGCCAGGATACACCATGTGCTGCGACATCCAGTTGCATTGCCGAGCGAAGGGCTTACATGCATTCTGGGCGTCGAGATCCTCCGCTGGAGACTCCAAAGACGAAGCGAACCGGTTCCATGCTCACTACTGCCTTCGTTAACACTAAACTACGTCAGAGGACAGTAGAGTCAAGTGAGTCCTCCGCAATCATGAGTCCTGTTACGCCGCAACCCTGCATATCTAGTAATTACAGAAAACAACTGCAGTCTAGTCGAACAGAAGGAAAGGGAATGACCAACACTGCCACCGCGGTAACGGCAGTGTCAGGCCTGAACGGCCGTGAAAGACCACCGCCCACCGACTCGGAGACCACCGGACCCGTTGACATTGACGCTTTAGTTAGACGTGAGCAGAAATCAGGGCGCACTGCCCGCACTAGTGTTCACATGCTAACAAATAAGTTTGAACACTATTCCGCCGACAGGCAAACGACACCGGAGTGTGTATTAACCAGCAAACAGCCATCTGGAGGTCTTACCTTTGCACACGAAACCCTGGAATTGAGTAATAAACAGAGTTTTCAGAGCCCCAGGACAATGCCCTTCTACCTCTCCAGCATCTGCACTGGGGGAAAGGTAGATCAGCCTCATGGAATGTCTCAAGACGTCCGTGCGATAGACGAACCAAAGGTCTTGCTAAGTCAACGAAAAGTGACAGAAGAGGTTGAGGAGGTAATTAATCTCCCCGCGAAACCCCCTCAGACTATACTGAGGCCAGAGGGCACTTCTACAGAGGCTTTTGTCGACAAAGCGGAGACGCCAAAGCCGGAAATAAAGGTCAGTGGCACGCTACCCAACGAAAGTCGCAAGACTAAACAGAAAGAAACTGCACCTCCGGCGGTAGACGTACTCGTCAAACCTCAACTGCGGCAGACCCCTACAGTATCCATGCGCAGTGCACAGACTACATACGAGACTCCAAAGATCCGCAGAGGCGACGAGACACCACTTCAGCGATCAG